TGGGAATTACAACTGAGGTGAAAAAATGTACAAATGAAGAATAATGTAAAAAATATACTTATAAAATAAAAAAACTATATAAAAATATGTTCTTAAAATGTTGCCATGTTAATGGTGTTGCAAAGCTCCTTGCACGATTGGTGATTCTTGAATATTTTCTCAAACTTAAGAATGCTATAGACAGAATTTTATGTGTCCCCTCAAAATTCTTATATTAGTATTAGATGGCTCCCCAATATGATAGTATTAGGAAGCTGGATCTTTGGGAGATGAGTAGGTCTGGGAGATGGGTAGGTCATGAGGGTGGAAATCTCATAAACTGGATCAGTGCCCTTTAATTAATTATATATGTATGTATGTATGCATGCATATTTATCACTAACCCTAATTCTTACAGCATTGTTCATTTTGGTGCTATGTTTTGCTTTCTCCTCTCAGGTATAGTCCCCATAAAATTCCCACCACCAATTCATTCTGCACCATCGTCATATTCTCTTGTGCTCTTCCTGCCCCTACTTTGATCTCTCTCCCTCCTCTTCCCCTGCAGGAAAGTCTCTGGTTTATAGTTGCCTGCTAATTGTGTTTGCTTGTTTTTTATTATTTTTTTCCTGATCCCTTATTTACTTCCCCTATAGTCCTCCTATAAATGAAACCATCCAATATTTTCCTTCTGGATTATTTCACTGAGCATAGTGCTCATTTGAAGACCTTCCTCTTTTTTTTTAGGTGTTGCAGGAGTGGGCAAATAAAAATACAAAGGGTAATCCTCTATATTTGCTGGAAATTCCCCCGTATGTAACGTACAAACCTTTCCCGTGTATTGGAGACAATATATTATAAGGATGAGGGCAACAGTCTTTGCAATCAGACTTATTAAAGTTTGATTCCCAGGTTCAAAGCTGACTTTGAGTTACAAAATTATTTAACCTTTCTCCATTTTTGCAAAATAGCACTAATAATAGTACTGCCTCCTGGGGCAGTTATGAGGATTAAGTAAATTAAAATGTGTGAAGTACTTTGTAAAGTTCCCAGCACACTGTGAGCACACAGCCAACAAATGCAGCTATTATTATACCCTTCTTGGTTATTTATGCACATCTCATTTCTCCTGTTTTATAAATTCCATGACAAAGTTACAGCACAAGACACACATAAGCTGCTTCACATGTAACATTGCTAATACAACATAAAATAAAGATTGCTAATAAAAACTGGTTGGCTGATCGATTGGAAAGGTGTGGTTATTGTTACAAAAGATTAAATGAAAGGTGTGGTTATTGTTACAAAAGATACAAATGCTTTTAGGATAAGCAAAAGATAAAATATAGTGCTAGTAAAGAATCCATTATTAAAGATAGTGCCTCCTATTTACCTTCATCAGCTAATAGTTAAGAAATTAATGTAGAGAAACATTACTGCAGCTAATTAATGACAGATGTTCTGTAATGCACATGTGAGGGGTACAAAGGCTTCTCCCCTTAAAACCAAAACAAACATACATACAAACAAAAACAAAAGTACTATTTTTCTGAAGAAATGCTAAACCTTTCCAATTTTTATCTCCTTTGTTCAACAGTGGAGAAACTGAGGCGACAACAGCAGCCCTAGCTACTTCCGTACAAGATGGCGTCACCCACTAGCTGGCGTGGCGTACACCCCAGCTAGGGTTACGTCTTCCTAGGATGTCGCGGGACCGGAAGTGGTTTCTTCCCTAGTGGATCCGGGTGGATGCGCGCAGGTGGTCGCGGGGGTTCCAGTGCTTCAGCGTGAAGCGCAGCAGGTGTTCGGTTGGGTCCGAGGCAGCAGGTAAGTGAGGATCAGGACCCCGCGAGTCCTTCCACCAGCTCTTTCGAGGGGCGGAGGGCGTTTCCAATGCGGACTGAAGAGAGGGCTCGTGGGGCTAGGGAAGCCACCGTGTGCGGGAGCGACTGACTACGGGGACCCAGCCACCTCTGAGCACTTGGCCCTGCCCCTCTCCCCGCCCCCGCAGTCGGCGGGAGCCTCCTGGCCACCCTGCCCGTGTCGCGGGCGGTTCGGCGCCCAGATGCCGAATGAGGGCCGTCACCCTCTTCCCGGCTGCTCGCGGATCCCCTTCTTTCCGGGAGCACTTATCACACCCTATGGCTTCTTGACCCGTCAGCTGAAAAGGTGGCACTACCCCGCAGTACCTGTTAACTCCTTGGGCGCAGGTGGTTTCCAGGCGTCCACGATTACAGTCCCCTCCTCCTCCATTCGTGGGGACTTATCCCTACCCCCCCCCCACCATTGTTACCACCCCTTTTCTCCCAGGCCACACCCGCTCCTCTGGGCCTAGCTAGGAACCGCCTGTCTTTTGGCATCCCAGTCTACATCAAGCCTGGACCTATAATCATTATTTATTACAAAATTGAATAAGCAAATCCAAAACTTTCAGGATTTAGATATGCAAACGCCCTTAGATATCTATTCCTTGAAAACACTATATTATTTATATTGTATTTTTAAAGTATTACAAGGCAAGAAGGAACTGCACTGAGAGGTTTTGTTAATACCAGAGTTAGGAAGTGAGGGAGAAGAGGTTTAATGGGGGGCGAGTGGAGAATAATGATTAATTTGGGTCAAGTTTACAATCTTGTAAAGCATTCATCTAAAGAATTAAAGTAGATCTTCTTTGACCTATCTCTTTCCTTTTTCTGTTCTTCTTTGATCTGTTTCTGCAAAATATTTATCATTTTGTGTTGTATTTTTCTATCTTTTTTGCATTCATTGACAAGTGTTTGTATGATAGACGTATATAAGACTTTATGAGGGGGCGGCCCTGATGGTGCAGGGGGCTAAGTCTCAGCACTTTGAAGCTATAGGTAGCCACTGCAGTGTGCGTTAGATTCCCCCATCAGGAAGAGACCTATATAGTCCAGCAGACCTCTCCTGTCTCACCCACTGCTCCCCTCAGCAGTGTGTTTCAGTCAGTCTTCTGCCTGTCCTGCTCCCCACTTCGTCTCTGGTGAGTCTAAGAAGATAAATAAAGATAAATAAAATAGTTTTTTAAAAACGGTTTTGTTACAATTTTACAAATATTCATTTCATAAATGTGGCACATTATACCTATATGGCAACTTAACCTTTTATGCTTAAAAATGAATCTTGGAACTTTTTCTTTGTAGCGATTCTGCCTTATTCTTCTTGTTCGGTAAACTCCGTAATACGTCAAGATTTCATAATATGTAAGATTAGATAGATTAAGTACAGTATTTCACTGTTAAGGCACTGTGTTAGAAAACATCCTTCCACATGTGTCCATGAGCCTATGCAAGCATTTCTCAAGGGTAGAAACCTGCAGATGGAGTTGCTGGGTAGAAGGCTGGGATATTTAATGCCAGATGTCCACCAGTAGGATATAACAATGTATGTTCAAAACATTTAATGGTGTCAACAGGTTTTATTTTTACCAATTTGATGAGTGGAAAATGATTCTCATTGGTGTTTTTTGTTTAAAGATTTATTTATTTGTGCATACAGAACTGGAGTACAAGCCAGAGGTACGGGGGCAGTGAGAGGATTCACCAGAGACAGAGTGGGGAGCAGAACAGGCCAGCTGACAAAAGTATACTGCAGAGCGGAGCAGCGGGCAGGTCAGAAGAGGTCTGGCGCCATGCCCTGTGGTCACCTCCGGGGCTTGGGATTGAACTCGCACTGAAGCAGTTGCAGCACTGCAACTGTTGTGGCACCTTGTGGCACCTGTTGTGCCACAAGGAAGGGCCCTCATTGGTATTTTGATTTATATTTCCCGAATTACTAGTGGTTTTGAAATGGGGCAAACCTTGGTAACCAGGATTGATCCAGTTGGTGGGTCCTCACCTGTATGCTTAAGAATGTAGGTCTCAACCCAAAAGCTTACACGTGGATAGAAACAACAACAGGATTTATTTACAGAAGGAGGGAGCAAAGGGAGAAGTGAGAGCCAGAGAGAGGGGATGAGTTTCTTGGCTGCACACCAGCAGATGCTATTTGTGAACAGAGATGGAGGTCCAAGCTGAAGCCTCCCTGAAGCTGCGAGCTGGTGCCTCCTCCAGTGGTTTCCTCCTCACTAGCAGTTTAACTGCCAAAGCACCAACAGTTTAACTGCCAACGTACCAGCCCCACCCTATTTTCTATCAGCCTCCCAAGTACATCATGGGGACATCACTCTCCAGAAAGTTCTACCTTCTGCCACAGAGTTATCTCCCATTGAATGAGAGGTTGCTCCTATACTGGCACTTACATTTTCATCATGACTGCTGCTTACTTGTATTTCCCCTTTTGAAAAATGTCTAATTTCTATTGGGATGTATTTTTTTTTTTAAAGAAAATAGTTTTTTGTATATTCTTGATATTAACCTTTGGTCATGTACATAGTTCTACATATTTATTCCAAACATAGGTTGTTTAAAGTTGGCTTGTTTTTAAAAACAAGAATGACATCTTTGCTGAGCCAGTGTTTGAAGTTTAGTTTGAAGCAGTCTTTTACTGTATTTTGATTTTGTGGTTATTTTTTACCCCGAGTGGTTTGCAAATAGGAGATATTTTGCTGTCCAGGTGCCTTTTGACAGTGTCTGGACACTTTACTGGTTGTCCACTTGGCGTGCTGGTGCTAAAACTGCAGCGAGTAGGTAGAAGGCAGGAATGCCGCTACCTGTCTGCCGCTACCTGTCCTGCAGTGCTCAGCCTAACCCACACAGCGGAGAATTTCTCTGACCTAACGTGTCAATAGTGCCGAGTTGAAAATGCTGCTTTACACTGAGACAGAGCAGGACTTTTTTTTCTGTGTGTGTGGTATACATACTTAAGGCTTTTTGAATAGTGCCACTCAGAATAGCCAGTTCATTCTTGATGCATTTATCTGAATGCCACCTTTATCAAGTACTAATTTCTCTTACAGTGTTTCTGAACTCTCTGTTCTGTGGCCTCATTTTTTATTTTACTGGGCCAAAACCACAACATCATATTAAATATATATGATAGTTTGATATCTAATAAGATGACTTACTATTTTATTGCAAGTGATAGACCTCATCAGCTTACAGACTCATTCTTTAAAAAACTATATTTTTGTATTCTTAGTTTCTTTTCCTAATTAACTTTAGAACCAGCTTATCAAATAGTTTTTAAATTAATATAATAGTTTGCTTTTACATCATTTTGTGCCTTTTTCCGTCTCAGTTATAATCCCAGTGGGCTTCTGTTGCTAGTTGTTTGAAGATGGGCCATTCTCACTGGGGTAAGGTGGTGTCTCATTGTGGTTTTAATTTGCATCTCCCATATTACAAGTGATGTTGAACATTTTTTCATATGCTTGTTGGCCATCTGCATTTTCTCTTTGGAGAAGTGTCTTTTTAGCTCTTCTGCCCATTTTTTGATGGGGTTGTTTCTTTTTGTTGAGTTTCATGAACAAAAATTTTATTTTTGTTGTACATCTTTGTGATCAATCCTTTATCGCTAGAAAGAGGATTTTGTGTTAGAAAATTTTTTCCCAATCAGTGGGCTGTCTGTTTTTTGTAATGTCTCTTTTGCTGTACAGAAGCTCTTTAACTTGATGTAGTCCCATCTATTTACCCTTTCCTTCACTATCGTTGCATTGGGTGCTGTATCTTCAAAGATATTACTGAGGTATAGGTCGTGTAGTGTTTTGCCCATCTTTGCTCCCAGGTATTTTATGGTTTCCATTCTTACGTCTAGGTCTTTAGTCCACTTCGAGTTGGTTTTTGTGCATGGTGTGAGGTAGTGATCTAGTTTCATTTTTTTGCATGTAGCTTCCCAATTTTCCCAGCACTATTTTTTGAACAAACTTTCTTTGTTCCATTGTATCTTCTTTGCTCCTTTGTCAAAGATTAGTTGTTCATAAACCTGTGTGTTTATATCTGGGTTTTCTATTTTACTTTTTCTTTTTTAAAGATTTATTTATTTATGTTTACAGAACTGGACTGCAGGCCAGAGGTATAGGAGCAGTGTGAGGGTTCACCAGAGACAGAGTGGGGAGCAGAACAGACCGACTGATGAAGTACACGGCTGAGGTCAGGAGAGGTCTGCCATGCCTTGTGGGTCACCTCTGGGGCTAGGCATTGAACTCATGCTGCAGTAGCTACAGATAACTTCTTAGAACTGCGACTCAACCCCTGCACCCTCAGGGAAGCCCTGTTTTCCACCTCTTTACACTGTATTTTGGAAGATTTCCTCAGATCATCTTTAGTAACTGCCACCTCTGATCTACTGTTTACTGTGTCTATGGAATATTGTGTGTTAAATTTTTAAAAAATATTTTTCAATTGAGGGCCCTCCCTGGTGGCGCAGCGGGTTAAAGCACAGCACTGAGAATCTAAAGCCGCTTTCGCGGCTGCCCCGGAGGTGACCACATGGCGTGGCAGACTTCTGACCCGCCCGCTGCTCCTCTCAGCAGTGTACTTCGTCGATCTGCCTGTTCTGTTCCCCACTCTGTCTCTGGTGAAGCCTCTCACCGCCCCTGAACCTTTGGCCTGCACCCCAGTTCTGTATGCACAAATAAATAGATCTTTTAAAAAAAAATATTTTTCAATTGAGAATTTCTACTTCTTGTTGCCTCATGTTCATGTTTCAGATTTTATTTTCCATAATTTTCCTGAATGGTCCTGAAGATCCTTTCGGATTCAGATACCAATGGATATTTTTGTTTGATGGCTCTGGGAACTATCTTGCTGGCTTTAAGATTTTTTGTTTTTTTTTTTCTCGGATTCCTTGATCTTTTAAGGACTGATCCACTTTGGAAGTTGTGCATGTTTCCTGCATGGAGTGTGTCTGTACATTGTTTTAAAAACTGTAAATCTGTTGTTAACACTTAAAAATGGCAACGTTTCACATAAAATCCTGATATCTAACTTCATCTGAATAATCAAGGTAGCTGACTGCACTGGGCCTTGTGCCTGCCCTGAGTCAGCTCCTTTAGAACGGCTGCTGCCGTTTTCTCTCGTCACTCAGGCCAACAGCCACTTGCCATTTATTGTTACATGTTTACTGTTATTTTTAAAATGGCATAGAAATATTAGTATATAACTGTCTGTCAAAAATAGGTAGAAAACAAGACAATGGGGAAAAGCACATTGTAAGAAAAGTAGAGACTATTTTGTGATAGGAATGAAGATACTTCTTACATAATTAATAGGGCCTCTGTCAGGTTTTTTTTTGCCCGTGACTTGCTTTACTTATTTTTGTTCTGCCTTTTTCTTGCAGACATTTCCATTTGCAGCCTCCTCTGATCATCATGGGTTACTCCTTAAGATTTTTTCTTTTTCTCTTCTTCTCCTATTTTCCCTTCTGTACTGCCCTAATTTATCCTCATAATTTCCCATAGAGGACTGCTGAGACTTCTGCAGCAACAGAAAACCCATTTTTAAGTCTGTTTGCTTCCCTCCTCACTACCCACACTTTCTAGAGAAGTAAAATTAGCTACCACCAACTTGCCAGTGACTAGATTTTTATTGAAAAGCACAACTTTTCATTTCACTTTTAGAGAATGAAGATTGAAAGTGAAAACCCCTTGAAGGAGGTCTGCTAACTCAAATTTACTTACTAACATTAGTAAGAGTCTAACTTCTCTTTCTGGTGATAGTGAAGGTAGTTTGAGTACTGAACATAGAAATATATCACCATGTTGAGTTTGTGGGTTCTTGGATTATATTAAATAGATCATTTTTTAAGGGGAAAACTTGTTTCCATGAAGGTTTATATTCTATGCATAAATACATTTTGTCATTTGGTTTGCAGGTTGTGGAGTTAGTGATGTGCTTTCCTGGACAGCAGAAAAATTGAAGATGTTTCAACAGCACTTAGTGGCTTTAACAGTGACCACCCTTCTTGGCATGGTTGTGGGGGGCTTTGTCCTGTGGAAAGGCATCCAGCACCGAAGGAGGAGGAAAGCCAGCCATGCTACTCAGCAGCGGAAAATGCCCTGCAGGAGGGAGCTGCCCGCTCCAGAAGAGGGCCAGCTGCACTCTAGTGGCCCCATAGCCTCCTGGAAGCAGAGGATCCTGGAAGCAAAGGTGGTGACTGTGTCTCAGGAGGCAGAGTGGGACCAAATTGAGCCCTTGCTTAGGAGTGAGTTAGAAGATTTTCCAGTACTTGGAATGGACTGTGAGTGGGTAAGTTAGAATACAGAAATTGAAAAGAAAAATCTTTTCTACGTTTCCAAGTAATACTTTGAATAATCAAGTAGAGAATAAAATTAAAGAAGAACTGGCTTGTTCTCAACTTGCCTATAAGCAGATTTAGCAGGAGAAACTTTCTTGTCTCAGGATAGGGGAGTGCTTACAGTCATGGATTCTGGAGGTCAAACCAGTATGAGTTCTATTTTCGTTACTTATTCTGTGATCTCAGACAAGCTACATAACCTTCTTGAGCCTTGGACTTGTATGTAAAGATTCAAATAGATAACCCCGATAAAGACTTAAGCACAATTTTAACATATGGTAGGTAACTGCTTATTAAGTATTAGCTGCTGTCAGTGTCTTTAACAGTATTTTCGTAAGTGTGGCACAGAGAAGATAGTTAGGAAGTCTATTTAAACAAATTATTATGCAAATCAGTATTTAAAAATAACAGTTAAAGTTTGAAATATTTATTATAAGCAAGTACTATGCTGTTTTATTTTCTCATTCAATTTTCATCTCATCCAATTTTTACATTAAACATATATAAGAGGATACTCTTATTATCCTCACTTTCCAGATAGGAAATACAGGTTTAAAAGGTTTAATTACTTGCCTAAGACTAGGAAGTTAATAGCCAGCACTTGAGCCAAGGGCTTACTTAACCGTCTGGTTATTTTTTCTAATAGCTATGAATTTGGGGGGATTGTTACATAATTGTGATGAAAATAATATGGTACAATTGCTCTTCTGTCATTCAGATTCCCAGAGTGAACTTGAATCTCCTTGAAAGAGAAGATAGTTTGAAAATATAAATGTTAGTTATCATCTTATTAGTTATCATCTTATTAATTAAGCTTAATACCTTGCCAAGATTCTCTGATAGATATATTTTGAATATCTAAAATATAGCCAAGAGCAAGGAAATGTAATGGAAAGAAGCCTTGAACACAATAATTGCCACAAAATCAGATGACAGGTTGATCAAAGGGCTATGATGGTAATTCAGTGATGACAAAGAGAACACATACTCTACACCTTAACTAGTAAGGTTATTTCTTTATATCTCTATTAGTAGTAGTTGTTTATACTAATGACCTTGGATCATCTAGTCTATTGTAGAAGAAATTATGTCATTTTAGAAAACATTTATATTAACAACAATAGAAGAAAATATTAGTGAATAGTGAGCTTTAGTATACCTTGACTATTCCAATTAAATTGTAGTATAATTGCAGTAACAACAGGATAGTCTAAAGAGAATGAGTAGTAATAGCAATTGTGCTTACAGTTTAATTTTTATTCACAAAGATTAACAGCAATTTAATAATGATGTGTTAATTACTATAATGGGTAGAGGCATGGGTAAGTTCATGTAACAAATAATCAGAACCCATTTCATTTTGACTTTTGATATGTATTGAACTCACTGTAGATGCCACATCTCCCTTCTGGTGTGATTATATTTCTCTGATTACTACCACAGTAAAACTTAAAAAGTCATCCATCCTTGTTCTCTGCATTCTTTCATTTCTGTTTACCTTTCTCTTTTATTCACTTTTGAGTGTTTCTAGTTATTGTTGTTCTTGTCCTTGTTCATATAGCCAGCACTTATTTAGATTTATCAAAATGTTTATCTTTTTCTTTACTTATTGTTCCTTGTATCTCTGACTTTTTTGGGATGTTTTTCCTTAGGGTCATTGTTTAGAATTTCATTACTTGAGGACTCATTGATAGTAAGCAGTTAATGTTTTGAAACTCTTTATTTTACCCGTGATCTTGAAAGATATTTCCACTGTGTATGGAATTCTAGTTTCACAATGTATCATTTCCAAGATTGTATTCCATTGTGTTCTGACTTTGATCATTGTTCCTGTTCAAGATAAATATCTGTCCTAGTGTTGCTTCTTTGTATATAATCCAGTATTTTGTAATGCTTTTTATTATCTTCTTTTTGAGTTTGTGATTCTAAAGATTCATTCTGATAAATTTAGGTTTTCTTTTTTTTTTTTTAAGAATTTATTTATTTATACAGAACTGGGATACAAGCCAGAGGCGGTGAGAGACTTCACTAGAGACAGAGTGGCGAGCAGAATAGGCAGATCGACAAAGTACACTGCTGAGGGGAGCAGCAGGTGAGACAGGAGAGGTCGGCCGCACCATGCCATGTGGATCACTTCCAGGGTCGGGCAGTGAATTCACTGAAGCGCTGAGGCCAGCTTAGCAGTGCTGCTCTCCAACCCACTGTGCCACCAAGGAGGACCCAGTTTAGGTTTTATTTTTCTTCTGTATTTCCAGTGTGGGCTTCAGAGAGAGATCTGGATATAAGAATTAGTATCTTTAAGATTCTCTTTGGAGATTACCTAACTATGTTCTCCCTTTTCTTGCTCTTCTGACTCCTCCCTTTCTTCCTTACTTCCTTTCTTGCTGGAATTTCATCAGCTATATTCTTGATTTTTTTAATGCTATTCTATGTGTCTGGCAGTGTCTTTAAATATATAGATATTTAAAGAGTTATTTATTTATGCATACAAGAACTGGGGTACAGGCCAGAGGTGAGAGGATTCACCAGAGTCAGAATGGGGAGCAAAATAGGCAGATGTGCTGAAATACACTGCTGAGGGGAGCAGTGGGCAAGACAGGAGAGATCTGCTGCGCCATGTGGGTCAGCTCCCTGGCCAGGGATCAAGTTCCTGCTGTAGTGGCTGCAGATAACTTCATAGTACTGTGCTTTAACTCATTGCACCACATGTTAGGGCCCAGTGACTTATATTTAGCACCTGTTAGACTCTGTGGAGTCATTCTGCATCATTTCTTCAGGCCTCTTTTATAGTTTCTTTTCTTTTTCTTTAACTTTGTCTAATCTGTTATTTAACTTGTTTCTTGAGTATTTTTTTTTTAACTTAGTGCCTGAAACAAAATAAATAGCCAAATAAACAGCAGAGTAACTAGAAACTAGGTCAGGAAACAGAAGTCTGCTAGTACTGCAAAGGCTCCCCTGGTGTCTCCTACAAACACTTTCCCTCGAAGGGTCATCATTATACTGATTTCATGATACTCACTTTCTTGTTTTTCTTTATACTCTTACGTCTTAAGCATGTATACCTAAGCACCATGATTTAGTGTTGTCTATTTTGCCTGAGATCTACTCCCTTTTTTTGCTATTTTTTTTTAGATTTATTTATTTATATATACAGAACTGGAGTACAGACCAGAGGTGCAGGGCAGTGAGAGGACTCACCAGAGACTGAGTGGGGAGCAGAACAGGCAAATCGAAGAAGTACACTGCTGAGGGGAGCAACGGGCAAGACAGAAGAGGTCTGCCAAGCTTGTGGCTCACCTAGGGGGAGGGCAGGATAGAACTCTTACTGAAGAGGGTGCAGCCAGCTTCTCAGTGCTGCACTTTAACCCATTGTGCCACTAGGGAGGGCCCCCTTTTCTTATTACTAACTTCTCTGTTGGTACTTAGGAAGTATCAACAGTGCTAGCTCCAAAATAGAATTTACATTCTCTATATTTCCCTTACCTCCTCCCTAGTGCAAGTAGGAAATATTCAGTATCTTGCTTCCCTGCTTGGGTTCTTGTGCATGTACAGTTCCTTCTCCATATAGTAACTAAATGGTCTTTTAAAAATGCAAATGAGATCACATCAGTACTCTACTTACTGATCTGTCCTGCTACTGTTTTAAGTAAAATTCAAATGTCAGTTATCTAAATGTTTTTAAGGACTCATATGTTTTGGACTTTCTGCACATATATGATTTTGTCCTTTTATATTTCCCCCATTCTTCCCTTATTAATATCCAGCCACTTTGGGCCTTTATTCTGTGACTTGAATAGGGCAAGCTAATTTTTGTTTCAAAGCTATGGTCTAAATTTAATTGATATGTTAAACTCTACAGACCTAGGGATGCACATTAGTTGACCTATTTCAGCCCCAGTGAAACCAGGTCATTTTTTATTCTCTACTGCCTGTATGGATCATTTGAAGAATCATGGACCTTTGCAGAAAGTTTTTTTAGTTTTGGACTTTTAAGAATCCTGAAGCTAAATGGATTGTCCAGTGACTTAGGGAGGAAGGATGATCTCTGAACCTATGTTCTCTAAGTAATTAATCTCTGAAATATAGGGAAAAAAGAGTTAGAAATTTTGTTTATAATGAATTTTGTTGTTTTTTATTTTTTATTTCGTGAGCATATACTTAACTCTGTAATCCAGCTAGGCTTGGAAGAGGATAAAGAAAAATGGAGCCCAAAGAACTATAGGGAGATCATAAAGATTACAGGATATTTCAGGCAGATTAGGTTGAAGGTACCCTCGAGCTACAGAAGGAATAGTCTGGTGGCTATGATAAAACAGTAGCTGAAGTTACTAGTGATTTGTCCACAGACAGCAGTAGTGATCTTCTTGCTGGTCTTACCATTCCTGGACCCGAGGAACTCCATGGCTTCCACAGTATTCATGTTGTCCTTCACCTTGCCAAAGACCACACGCTTTCCATCCAGCCACTCAGTCTTGACAGCACAGGTGAAAAACTGGGAGCCATTGTGTTGGGCCCGGAACTTGTCATGGGCAAGATCCTGGGGCCTTTCTGCTTCAGGATGGAATTTTCATCATCAGATTTTTTTCCCACAAGTGCAGTTGCTACCTGTGCCATTATGGCAGGTGAAGTGATCCAACATGTAAATTCTGTAGTAATTTTGTAAAAGCAGAAACTTTATAACCATATGCCCTCTCTTTAGTGCTCAGAACACAGGCCTTTCTTTGCTGCTGTCCTTAGAACGCTAGAAACAGCTCAAATGATACCTGGCCCAAGGACCCAGCGCTGGCAGCAGTGCTGAAGAACACAGGGGGTGACGCTGACTGTGCTGTGCTAGAGATCTGGCAGTGGCAGCATCGGCTTGACTGCAGTGATTGTGATGCCATTCATTAGAAATGTTTTGCTTTTGTGTATGTTATACATACAAAACAGTATAGTACTACATGTATATAGTTGTAAATACATGTGTATATCCTGTAGTCCCCAATTTATATGAATTAACTAATCAAGAAAAATCAGAAGCCACTGGATTAAATTAAATTAATGAAATTTAAGTGGTCCATTTTTTTCCTTATGTGATAATTAAGACCAAAAAAAGTTAGATAGCAAAAGAGGAATATATGAGAAATAAAGAGTATCTACTCTTATTTCCAGATTGACTCTGCTAGAATAGTTATGCTTCCAGTTATATATCCAGTATAAATTAAATATCTATGGAATCATAACATTTGGATTCCTAGTGGGAAAGCTTTCATTATAATACACTTGAATCTTAAGCACAATCCAGAAACAGTATTAAAATGACAACTTATATATCTACCTAGCTATGTATTTAATGTATTTTAGTCAGAAAGATGTGCAAAGATCTGGCCTTAGGAATTTGTGGTGAGTCTTATGTTGAATTAGCAGTACTATGTATTAGTAGAGATTTATAGTTTCTTCTTGGGCAGATTTAATATTACAGAGGGAAGAAATTACTCATCTTGATTTGACCTCGCCTTAATTAAATGTTATAGACTAGGAACCCAAGTCATAGGTCCTTTTGATTTTGGCTGATATCCAAGAAATAGGCACATTAGAGATGAAACTGACATGCTTTCATTTGAGGATATGGAAATAGGGTTGATAAAGGAGTGTCTGTGAAGAGAAATCAAATCCTAAGGCTTTTGTGAGTTGAACCATGGTTTTAATTAGCACTGGCTTTGGTATTTAATAGGTTACTCTTTGTGATCTTGACTATTTTCCTCTTTGTGATTTTGGCTACCCCAGCTCTGACATATCTCTCTAATTTGTTTGAACTACTCCTTGGTATTTACCACTTAATTCCTGTGGTATGAGCTTAGTGTATTGCACTCCTTTGTGGTGGTAATCCTGAAGACAGGTTTCGTCCCGTACATAATTTTGTATCCACCGTGGCACCTGGTGCAAGGCCGATAATGTAGTAGAGAACCCAACTGGATCAGGGTTCCATTCCCTGTTATTAGTTACCATTTTTTTTTGTGTGTGACTCTTTTTTTGTGTGTGAGGAGCTGTCCTGAACACTTGGGTTTAGGGCCTCTTGTAACTACTAGACACCAGGGTACACCTCTCCCCTTTAAGTGTGGCAGCCAGAAATTTCTCCAGACATTGCCAGATGCTCCATGGGATGGAGGGCTGGGGAGAGATGGAGGGAGTGCAAAATTAATCTTGGTTGAGAATTATTTTCCTTGAGAATAGGAGATTTAGATTCTAGATATGACTTTGCCATTATCTCTTATTATTTAGGCAAACTACTTCACCAGTAGGCCTTATATTTTCTCTTCTGAAAAGTGAGGAGGATTGCATTTATTGACTGCTTAACCTTTGTCCCCTGAATAGCTTTAGGGAGCCTTTAATTAATGTGGATTTTGTATGTAAAATTTTCTGGGATAACTTTCTTAACTTTAAACATTTTCTCCAAGTTATCTATGACCTCAAAAAATTTAAACTGGATCAGTTAATATATATTTATTTTCACCTCTTAAAGATCTCAGCTTAAGATAAATATATATTTTTCTTTGATGAACTATATTTGGTGACCATAAGTGCTAAGAAAGCACTTTGAACTACTAGAATTTGTGTTTTATTGGTAGGTAACATTTATAGCACTGTTATTTCCTACCTCTCGAAAAATTGGATCTTGAGAGAGTGACGATATGATAAATCAGTTAGTCACAGCGTGTTCATTTGGAAATCTACATAGTGAAAAAGTGTGTGTTTATCACTTGGCACTCAGTTCCTGGCTCTCTTTTTCCATTTTAGCCTTTTAAAAGTATATGTTTAACTTGACTCTGCTAATGTATGTCCCAGAGATCCTTAGTGTTTGCTGGTCCCTGTCTATGAACTGTTCGAGTTTCAGACCCTGGAATTTGGCCCTTTGTTGGGTTGCTGCTTCTTAGCTTCCATTGCAGTCGTTAGTGTTAGCGTAGGCTTATCCTTGGCTATGGATAACAATCTGGTCAACTGCTCCCTTTGGAAGTTAAGGAGGTGCCTCTTATACTTTGGTGCTATGCTAGTGGATAAACTGTGGCCTTGTTTTTCTGTTGCAGGTGAATTTGGAAGGCAAAGCCAGTCCTCTGTCACTCCTACAAGTGGCTGCTCCAAGTGGCTTCTGTGTCTTGGTTCGCTTGCCCAAGTTGACTTGTGGAGGAAAAACACTACCAAAAACATTATTGGACATTTTGGCAGATGGCACTATTTTAAAAGTTGGAGTAGGATGCTCAGAAGATGCCAGCAAGCTTCTGCAGGATTATAGCCTTGTTGTTAGGGGATACCTGGACCTCCGTTATTTAGCCATGAGGCAGAGGTATGGTTTCTGTGAATGCTAGGCTTCATATAGCTGTGGGGCAAATATTTTAGTAAGTTTTGTAGATTGATGAAAACCAATAGTGAAACATAAAGTCCTGTAGAAACCTGGAGATTTTTGAAATGCATGTTGAATTTGTGAGGAAGTATTCCAGTTTCTGAGAATACTAGTTACTTTGAATTGATCTTCCTAGATAAAACTTGAGTAAGGTGTCTCTGTCAGGAAAGGGTCGTAAAATGAATGATGGGCTCTACTGGCTAAATTAGGGCTGCAGGTGTTTTCTTTCTCATGTGATGTTTTGAGTAAATCTCAGTTTAAGTATTAAGATTTAATGTAACAGCTTGTATTTTTGTAATACTAAAATCAAGATTTAAGGAAAAGAATCTGTACTTCTAGTTTCTCTTAAAAAAATTAGGTGATCTGACTACAGTAAGACAAAGTGAGCATGCTCACTCTGCGGTGCGTGGCTCCCAGCCAGTGGTTGCCTTCTGGATGAGCAGGCTTATTCACTCAGTCAGTCTACACTGCTCCCACTGCAACTCCTACTCATTCTGATAAGCACTGAGTTTGCATGCATTGCTTTAGGCCAAAATAGTGGTAGACCTAGGCCCTGACTGGGAGAAAGAAAGATTTCCCTTTCCCTTGAAATTATGTTCTGTGGAAATTTATTTTAACTTTTTTATGGAATCTGTATTGTCTTCTTATGCGTATGTTTGGGTCTTTGTTTTAATAGCATGGGCTGTAGTAGTCTCTTCTTGCCCCAAATAACACTGATGTTAAATGTGTAGAAATTTGACAGCATAAAGGATAAAGGAAGTTTTGATTAAAATCTATGTCGATTGTAATTTTTAGTACAAAATAAAATTTTAGTTTAGTAGTATTGCTTATATAAATAAAACTTTTATAAATGAAATATCAAATTTTTTTAAGCAATTATTATTTTTATGCATATAAGAACTGGTTTGTAGGTCAAAAGTGCAGGGTGCTACTACTTTAGCACCATTATCATCTGGTTGGGTTTTCCTTACAGATCTCTGACTCCGCAGTTACAGCCCCCTCTATAACTATATACAAATGAGAGGTGAACCAAATTTATCTGGCAAACTGCAGAATCTCCAAGTGTCAATATAGGAATTTGGCCAAAGCTGAATATTACTTCTCTAGGAATAAGAATGAAGGTTTATAAGACCTTTTATTTTTTTTTAACAAAATTGTATTAAAATGTAAAATATAACTTTTATTATTATATACTTTAGTACTAAAATGATACTTTTGACATTATACTCCAAGAAATTTGCCATTAGAGCACAAGAACTATACTTAGCACTATCAGCTATTGGTTGCCCCTGACTTATGCTCTGTGCAGTTGTTATTTGTCGTTGCCGTTGGAGAAGAGCACTTTCTGGGGAGTGAGATAATTAATGCTGTGTTCCTCTCATCTTACTCTATATTTTTTATTGTATGTTAACTGATAGTGATTTATTTTTGAGATTGTTGCACATAGCCTGGGAATTTCTCTTTGTGAAACCTTGAAGTGGTAAAGGTGGCATTTTGTCTTTAATTTATCCCCAGGAAATATGAAGCCTTCCCAAAATAATACGATTAAGACTAATAACCTACAAGGAATTAAATAACTAAGGTTAAGTGCTGCCCTTTATTGAGGCTAGTTGATTTCAAGAACTATGGAATGTCTACGCCTGGAGTGTCAGATAGCTGTGAAAATGTGAAAGAAGTCATAGATACATTAACTGAAAAGTAAATAGCAGAATAAAAAGCAAAATAAAGGCTATTGATGCTTTGGAAGTGGGCGTGAGTGGCAACATACGTCTGAAGAGGTGTGACTCCAGGCCTCTAAATCACACACGGTGTGGTAAACCAATGCCACCTCATGAAAAACAATAAGATCACTGTCCAACATTTCTGGGCTCTGAAACTACAGGGTGAACAGGAAAAATCTTAGTTTTTAAGTTACTCTCTCTCCAGTGAAATTTCTCTAGTGTGGTCCCCAGAATCAGTTCAGAGCCCCCAAAACTGCTTATCAAAATGCAATTTCCAAGGCCATTCCCCAGACTTATCCTGAGTACAATTTCTAGGAGATTGCACTTTTTTTTTTTTAAGATTTATTTATTTGTGCATACAGAACTGGGGTACAGACCAGAGGTATATGGGTGGTGAGAGGACTCACCAGAGACATAGTGGGGAGCAGAACAGGCAGATCGATGAAGTACACTGTTGAGGGGAGCAGCCGGCAAGATAGGAGAGGTCTGAGGAGCCATGTGGTCACCTCTGGGGCAGGCGGGGTTTGAACTCATGCAGAAGTGGCTTTAGCTTCTTAGTGCTGTGCTTTGATCCACTGAGCCACCAGGGAGGGCCCCTATTCCATTAAAAGCAACTTTTATTTATATTTCCCTCAAATCCTTAATTTCTATTAATTCAAACAAGATTTTATGTATTTTACCTAAGTATTTTGTACCTGTGTTTAGTTTTTAGTCAGTGTTATCTTTTTGGGTGCTGGAATCCTTCAATGAACTGCTTGTTTTTGTAAGCAAAGAATGATGTACTTCATCATTACAATGATACCATTTCCTGCAGTGTCTGAAGGAATCCTGAATGATGAAACACTGATGTAAACCTCCACCTAAAGGCTTCCCACTCTAAACCTTTAGCTACTCACTTGGCATCCAAGAAGTCAGCTCTAGTTTTGTAGGTAGATCAATGTGTTCTTAATTTCATATTTATCTTTTGGTTGAAGTCTCTAGTCCTTGGACAAATTCATTTTTTTCACCAAGCTGCAGCTATTTTTATTAGAAAGTGAAGAGCAGAAAAAAAATAGGGTATTTTTTTTTTTATTATACCTTTACCCCATCAATAAAAAGTCTTAATCTTTTTACAGGTTTGAAAATATACAAACACTAGTCAATTCAAATATAGAAAGATCTTAACAAGATTGATAACCTCCCCAAATTCTACAATCAGAAATAGTATGAAAATTTGATCAATATGTTTCTAGTTATCTCTGTATTTCCTCTGTCTATACATCTAGAATCACACAGATACATTTATATGTAGTTTATTTATTTAACATAAAGGGGCCATATTTTATGTTTTCTTTCACAATATTTCTTTACTTAATATATCAAGGACATCACATCACATCAATATAGATCCGTGTTCTTATATTAAATGTCTGTTTCACCATTTTTCTATTGTCGAGCATTGAGGTTGTTTTCAGTTCTTTGTTAACTATAAATAGTACAACACTAAATAACATTTTATGTATATTTATCCTTAGGATAAATTCCTTGAAGTAGAATGGCTGATTTAGAGAATTTTCATATTCAAAATATTGATAACTATTATTAACCTGTTTTTTCTTTTTCTTTTAAACCTTTTCACAAAGGTTGTAAAAAGATTAATGAATTTTGTATTAGACTGATTCTCAAGCTTTCCTTTCCCAATATTATAGTTTTTTAATCTGTGAAATCTGATATGAAAATTGTATAGAATTATTTAAATTGATTTCTGATGAGATCTGTCATCTTTTCATTAGCCATGTATATGTCTTTTTGAGTTATCTGTCATTTTCCTTTGTCCATTTTTAACACATGATTTTATTTACTTCTTATAGAAACAATTTGCTCTGTAATGGACTTAGCCTGAAATCACTCTCTGAGACTGTTTTGAACTTTCCCCTTGACAAGTCCCTTCTACTCCGTTGCAGCAACTGGGATGCTGAGAATCTTACTGATGAACAGGTACTTCTTGTCAGAGTAGTTAAAGAATGGAAGAGTCATTACTTGTAAAGTAAAATTGTTTTGAAAACTGTGGTCCTCAATTATGAGATATGTTTAAGTAATGGGTAACAGTGCCTTAAAACAGACTCATTGATTAACCACTCAGGCTATAATAGTGTGGATGCCATTTAAATAAAAGGGTAAAAGATCCTATTCTAATTTTTTTGAGCATTTAGTATATGCCGATATTTCAGAAAATGTTTTTTAGTATTGAGTACAAATGCATAATTAAAAACCCAAGGTGTTATAAAACTTTTGAGAACTTTTTATTTTAATATTTATTTATTCATATAGAACTGGGGTACAGGCCAGAGATGCAAAGGGTGAGAGGATTCACCAGAGACAGAGCGGGGAACAGAACAGGCAGATCGACGAAGTACACTGCTGAGGGGAGCAGCGGGCAGGTCAGGAGAGGTCTGCCTCGCCATGTGGATCTCCTCCGGGGCAGACGGGAATCAAACTCATGTGGAAGTGGCTTGAGCTTCTTAGTGCTGTTCTTTAACCCACTGCACCACCAGGGAGGGCCACTTTTGAGAACTTTTAAGAAATAGTGAGTAGTTCCCTGCCTTACCATCCATCTACTTCTCATTGTTCTTTCTTCTTAAAGGAAACCAGTTTCATTTCTTTCTGGTAATTATATTTTTATTACATGGGTATACTACTCTCTTATTTTGCCTATTCTGATTTCTTTCTGTGGGAAACATGATTTAGTATTCTTAAAGTTTTCAACACCCAAAACAAATACTTATTTCCCTCTTGTACCTGCCAATATAGGTAAATTGTCATATTTATCAGATTCACATCTACTATTAATATTGATGTTATTTATAGCATAGCCACACGATAAACTGCAGTTTTTTTGTCTTATACAAATTTTTGTATTCACAGGAGTGATACTTGTGTTTCATTTTCTTGGTGTTCTGTATGTCAACTGTTTTCAATCCTGGACTCTACTAGGCCTCCTGTCAAGCTCACCCTGACATATGAGGCAACCTGTTTGTTCGGTTTTCCTTTGGAGACCTCCCTTCTCTGTCATCATGCTTGCCAGTTCTGCTGCCAATCTTTCTTGCCTGGATTTTTAATTAACATCAGCCTAGGAATTCCCTTCACTTCTCTTCTATAGTAGATCCTCTATTTTCGAAATTGACTGTCTTTTTCCTTTCTAGTTTGGGTGAAATGTATTCATAATAGGTTGGTGAGAAAGGGAAGTTAATTTATGACACCTTGCATGTTTGGCTTCACTCTCTATTAACTGATAGTTTGACTGAGTATAGCATTTTAGATCGGAAATCATTTGCCTTTAGAACTTTAAAGGCAATGCTCCTTGTCTTATAGCTTCCAATATCGATGTTCATTGTGACTTAATTTTCTTTCTAGACTCTCTTATCTTTATTCTTAGTTTTTAAAAATCCATGTTGCTATACATGGTGTAGGCAGTGTTTTCATTATGGTTTTAGAATTCCCTTGACTCAATCTGGAAGCACGTGTCCTTCAAGTCAGGGGATTATTTTTACAATATTTCTTTGAAACTCCCCTTGCTTTTGTTTCTGCAACTCATATTATTGGCATGTTAGAACCCCTGAATTGAGTCTCTTATTATCTTAGAAAAATATTTTCTCCCTGATTTCCCATATCTGTAACCTATGGAGAAATTATTTTCCAAAATTACCATTGAATTTTAAATAATTCCTGTCATATTTTTAAGTTATAAGAGTTCCTTATCTCTTCAGAGTATTCACTTTAAAATAACTTCATTATTGTGCAATGGGTATATCTTCTATTATCTTAAGAGTGTTAAAGATTTTTGAAGTTTTCTTCTGTTTCTTGTATTGCCTTCCCTCCCCCACAGTTATTTATTTTTTCTTTGTCTTTTACATTAAAGATTTTCTTAAATGTTTATATCCTTTACTGTTCATAAATCTATCAACTGATGAATGGATAAGTAAAATATGGTATACCCATACCCATATATTGTTCATCAAAAAAATATATATGCTACAATGTGGAATCTTGAAAATGTTATGCTAAATAAGTCATTCACAAGTAAAATTTTGAGAATAGACAAGCTAGTAGTTGCCTAGCACTGGGAAAAATAGGAGTTGGCAGCTAAAGGATGTAAATGTCCTTTTTCAGGGTGTTGAAAATGTTCTAAAATGATGTAAATATGCTGAAAGTCCCAAATCCTGAAAAATCTGTAAAAGACATTTTGAACAAGACATTAGACTAGGACTGCATGTTACTAAATTTTGTCATACTCTTGAGTATGTAACTATGGCGTGATTGTGTAGGAGAGTGTCCTTATCTTTAGGAGATACACATGGAAATGTTTAATACATGTAATTAATACATATAATTTATTTATTTATATATTTTTTATATCATTGTTCATTTTTTTTTTTTTTTAAAGATTTACAGAGCGGGGAACA